ATTCAAGGAAATGCCATGTTGACTGCAGCTGCGAAGACCCACCTTGAGCTTTAGGAAGAGCAAACAGAAAAGATGGACAATGCTACAACAATCTTTCCTTGCTGTCCTATGAAATGATAAGTGTAATAGAGCAGTTCATTCTCTTGATGTAAGTGTAACCAAACAGAAAGCTATGGGAATTCATCTGGGCCTCAGGTGTGTGTATATGTACATATACCTAATCTAGTATTTTCCTCTGATTATATCAAAAAATGGTGAGCCTGTGTAGCCATTAAAACATGTCCTATTTTGTATGTGCTCTCAGCCTCCCTGTGTAGGGCTCTTTCTAGCCCAATCTGTCTTTGTTCTCATCCACTGCTCCCAAACAATAGGGAACACCTAGACTGTTTGATGAACTCAATGTAAACTGGAGTAGCTGCTCTCTCTCAAAATATTTATCTCCTTTCTCGGTAGACAGCTGTTGTGATTTTGTTTGTTTTTGCTTAGTGGTTGTTGTTGGATTTTTTTTCTATTTTTTTTTTTTTTGTGCTAAAGGAATGGTTCCAGCTTTACATTAGCTGAACATTAGCTCACTTGAAATTGTCTGTTGTGAAACAGACGGGAGTTGACGGCTAAATCATTGCCTGCCCTGTTCAGGAGGGTCAATGGAGCACCACCCCACTGCATCTTCTCTCTACTCCCATGTGTGCATCAGATCAAGATGTCATGTGGAGGAAGGGACACAATCAGATGACCGTTATGAAGGTATAGGGCACTTGATAAAATCTCCCCCAAATGAAAAAAAAAGTGAACTCATATGATCTTGCAGAGTGTTGCCACTATACAGCAATATTTGGGACACAGCAGCAAAGGAAAGAGCAAGCACACACCTGTCATACAGATGGTCTGTCCTCCAAACCTCTTGATCCTTTGGAGCAGGTGTGGTTTCTAAACATTTTCAGAGAAGGAGGGATGGAGTAATCCTGACCCTTGACAAGGAAAAGGTTATGGGAACCTGTAAATAGGAGAAACAATAATCAGTCTATCCTTTTGCAAGAGACCACAACCTGAAAGCTCTCCTCATTTCAGTAATCTTCCTTCCCTGTGGAAAACAGAAAAAGGCCTAGCAGTACAAAAAGCTGTGAGATCCCATCATTGATGTGCTTGTATCAACACCCATTCTACATGTACTTAGCAACTGTGCTCTCTTTGCTAGAGAATGGCAGCAAGTACTGTTGATTGCAATAGTGGCTGGCTTCAGGTTGATTTTTTGCCCCTCTGTTGGCCTCCCTGAATGGCGACGTTCACAATGATGACTCTTCATTGACGCAGGAGAGCTTTGTGTATTCCCTGGCATTGAGTCTGCTTATTGTCACTGTTCCTGACATCTTAGTAAAAGCACAAACTCCAAGCTCCCTTTGGACAATAAGTTCTTTCTTTGATATGGCTCCTGAATGCTTTGGAATTTCATACTTAAGCACCTTCCAAAATCTGACCAGCAGCTTGGGGGGGGGGGGGGGGGGGGGGGGGCAGTGACAGGGTAATGAAACCAGCTCTGCTGTTACAGAGGGGGCATAGAGAGACCACCTCATCCTTGATCCTAATCTTCTAATCTTTAGATTACCTATATAAATGATTTCCCCTGGCAAAACAATCATCTGAAAAAGTATCTTTCTGTAAATGGTACCTGTGTCCATCGCAGTTTTCAGCTAAAGCAGAAGAAACAAGTTTCAGCTTGCTATCTGCAGGGTGCTGGGAGTGAATGGCCAACTTCTGAGGGGAAAATGAAAAGCAAAATATTACTTTTCTGTCAGTAGGCTTACTTTATAAGAACGAAGCTGCAGGCTGCACCTTCTCCACTGGAAAATACAAGTCATCAGTAACCGTTTTCAAATAACAATGAACCCAGCCTTTGAAGAGTAGCAAAGCTGAGAACTCATAGAGGGGATGTATAAGAGTCAAGTTTCTCTCTCGGAAATCACAGCCTGCATGTCTAGCTTCGTATTTTTGCTGCCAGAACTTCTGGGCATGGGAGAAACAGCAATGGACAAGCCTGCTAGATCCCTGCCCCATTCTCTGGCATGCATGTTTGGTAGGCTCAGCTTTGCCACACAGGAATCCACAAATGTGCTAGAAATGTGGTAGTGTTTCTGGAGACTGAGTAGAAGCAAAAACCACTAAGGTCTAACATTCATCTTTAAAGAGAGATCTGCATAAACAGCCTTTGAGTCCTGGTGCTAGTTCTATAGGATAAACCCAGGGCTCACTGACTTCTGCTGAAGTTTTGTCAGAGGTTTTAATTAGATCGATATGCTGGTGCCTGATTTTCACTGTATATTTTGTGTCCTCAATCACCTCAGTTTTCTTTAAACACCTCCTATAGTATCACTCACAGTAGGGGGAGACTGGATTTAGTATCAAAGATGGGCCTTCCTAGGACTGTTGGGTACAGGCAGCCACGATCTCTCTCTAGTCTATTAAATTCCAGACCTAGCACCAGGCCTTTTCAGGAGACTGGTTCCTCCTTCCAGGGTCATTTAAGCTATCACAATATGAGTCAGCTGTGGAAAATGTCTTCCCAAATCCTGGCATGTGAAGTATAGGAATAAACTGCTGACTGCACTGAATTTACCTATGCCAGAAGAGAATTAATGAATGTTCCCAGCCTACTTTGAAAAGAAGTATCATGTGGTACAATATTGCTGTTCCTGTTATTCACCCCGTAGCTGACATGTAGCATCTCCCTTGCAAACTAATGGGAAATTTCTTTTGGTATTTTTGGCATTTTCCAGCAGAGCTGCTAGAGCCTGCTGCTTCATTCTAATAAATGTGCCCTACCTTGCCCTCCCCTGCCCCATTTCCTCTAAGCTCCTTTACAAGGGAGATAAAAACATCAGTCCCTGACGCCATCTGTTGAACAAAGGCTAATCCATTCTCTGCTTGTCTCATGGTCAGTTTGGTTTCTTCCTGATTGGTGCTGCTACCTTCCTTATTCCTGAGAATGTAGTATAATCATAGAATCATTAAGGTTGGAAAAGACCTCCATGACCACCAACAGTCCCCCTACTACCGATATTACCCACTAAACCATGTCCTTAAGCAACACTTATGATGGGTTTCTGCAGCCATCCCGGCTGACAGCCAGCATTGTCCCCACGGTCCCACCGCTCCCCACTGCCTTGCTGAGGCAGAGCAGGGCCCACCAGCAACCCTACACCATGAGGGGGTCCCCATGTTTGCCAATATTATTTATAGGTTTGTGCTTTGCTTTATTTTCATGGTTATATTACAATGATTGCAACGTAAATGGTTGCCCTGGTGCAGCCTTTATGGCTTTCTTGCCAACCGTACCCTGGGGTTCATCAAGCACGGCATTGCTAGTCGGTCGAGGGATTGCCCCACTCTGCTCTGTGCTGGTGCAGCCTCACTCACCTCCAGCACTGTGTGTAGTTGTGGGCACCACAGCACAAAAATGATGTGGAAGTGTTGGAGAGTGTCCAGAGGAGGGCAATGAAGATGGTGAAGGGCCTAGGCAGGAAGATGTATGAGGAGCGGCTGAGGGCACTGGGCCTGTTCAGCCTGGAGAAGAGGAGGCTGAGGAGAGGCCTCACTGTGGTCTGTTCTCCCACGTGCCTGGTGACAGGACGAGGGGGAATGGGCTTAAGTTGCACCAGGGGAGTTTTAGGTTGGATCGTAGGAAGAACTTCTTTATCGAAAGGGTTGTTAGACACTGGAACAGGCTGCCCAGGGAAGTGGTAGGGTCACCATCTCTGGAAGTCTTTAAAAGACGTTTAGATGTAGAGCTTAGGGATATGGTTTATGGGACTGTTAGTGTTAGGTTAGAGGTTGGACTCGATGATCTTGAGGTCTCTTCCAACCTAGAAATCCTGTGATTCCTCACGAGGGGGTGTGAAGGGGCAGGCGCTGATCTGTTCTCTTGAGCAACCAGTGACAGGACCCACGGGAATGGTGTCAAGCTGAGGCAGGGCAGGTTCAGGCTGGGTACCAGAAGAGGTTCTTCACTGAGAAGTTGGTTGCACACTGGCACAGGCTCCCCAGGGGTGCAGTCACCACACCAAGCCTGTTGGAGTTCAAGAAGCATTTGGACTGTGCACTTAGCCACACGGTCTGAATTTTTGGGCAGACCTGTGTGCAGCCAGGAGCTGGATAATCCTTACGGCTCCCTTCCAGCTCGGGATATTCTGTGCTTCTAACCCCCTCAGCACTTTTGCTGTCCCTGTGCCACCACCCCTGAGGTGCCTGCTGCCTGACAGCCCCCAAAACCCCTTTCCCTTACTCCCCACCACGCAGAGGGAGGCTGAGGCCACCTTGAGCCCTGTCAGCGCTCAGCACCCAACTACCCACACTGAGACCCACACTTCCAGAGCCCACCGCCCCAAAACGGCCGAGATCGACACCCCCGTGAGCGGTCCCGGCCGTTTATCTCCGGGAGCCCTCCCCCGGCGCTGCCTGACGCGCGGGGCGGGGCGGGCCGGGGGCGGGCCGGGGGCGGCGCCGCGCACCCGGAGCGTCGGAAGGCACCGGCCGCGGACCCGCCGAGCCGCCACAGGGCAGGGGGCAGGGGGCAGCGGGCAGGTAACCGCCGGGCGGCCGCTTCGAGCGGGGACACCGGGGCGAGGCGGGGGCTGCGACTGTGACTGTGACGGAGCCGCTTCGAGCGGGCGCTGCCGCAACTCCCCACCCCCACCCCACCCCGGCTGCTCGCTGCCCCCCTCCCCGCTTCTCTCTCTCTCTCCCTCCCTCCCTCCCCCAGCCGTGCCCTCCCGGTGGGGCCGTGCCCGGGGCCCTGCCGGTGCCCCCCCCCCCCCTCCCCGTCAGCTGTTTCCTGCCGCTTGTTGTCAGGGCGCTGCCGGGGCCGGGCCGGCGCTGGTTGGCTGCGGGCCCCTGACGGAGCCCGGCCCGGCCCGCCCCGCCCCGCGCTTTGTGGCAAGGGGGGAGCCGGGCCCCGGCCCTGCGGCCTGTGGGGAGGGGAGAGGGGGGGTGAGGTGTTAGTGGGGTCGTGGTGGTGTCCTGGCGGTGTCCTGGCCGGAGTGTGTGTGCCTCAGGCTGGGATTGAAAATACCTTGTGGTGAAATATCTGGTGTAAGTGCGCTGTGAGAGCTCGGGGGAAGGCTCTGCGGGTAGGGGTTTCGGGGTGGGGGGAGAGGCTCTTGGTGAGGTGAGGGGGTTACGCTGACAGCCTTCGTGCCTTCGGGGTGCATTTGGGGTGGTCGTCATCTTCTCGCCATCTCTTTGCTGCTTGTATATTTGTTTATTATTTTCTTTTTGTGACTTCTTAAGCCGTTGGTGTCTCCTGGTGAAGGTTTGTACCGCTCCTGCGCTAAAAGTAATGAAAACAAAACATCGGAATTAGCTCAACTGTAGTTCAAATTGCAGACTGGATCGGTAGACAAACGTTTTGTATATTTAGTACAGAAAAAAATGAAACCCAGGAAATACAGGCTTCTTAAAAACTCAGAGGGGAAAAGATGACCAGGAAACACACGTTGTTACCCGGTTTGGACTCTGTGTAGTAGTGGGGAAGAAATTTAATCCGAAGCTATCACTTGTAAGTTAGTGCTTTTATTTATTATCTCCCAAGAGCGTTGTGACATGGGAGGCACTGAGGTAAAGGGGCAGTGCTAGAAGCGAGCCCCCATCCGGGTGCACCCGCTGTCACGTGTCAGTGTTTGCATACACCAGCAGAACGTAACTGGGTGCATTTAAACACACTGCCTGTACACAAAGCTTTCACTCTACCTGAAGGAAACTGTCCACAACAGAAAATTACACTGCTGTCACTTGCACAAATGCAGTTTCCTGCTGAAAGCCAACTTGTTATGGGTGGGAGCCATGCACTGTGTTCATTACATTGCCAAAGACTCTTCAGTCATTTGTTTGTGTTAACTTCCTTGTGCAGTTTCGTAGGGTAGTGGGGGTGGCTCTGAGGAGTGTAGCATCCTGTTCCAGTTCTTTGCTTTTGGCTACGTGTGGTGCTTTCTGATAACAAATTCTGTATGTAGGCAGGGGCCAGAGACTCGGCCCTGTTTGCTTTAACAGTCACAGAAGTCTATATTGGAGGACTGCTGGTTCTCAGACCTGCTGAAAGGCTACACATTTTCAACACGTTTTCATATGCATCCTCACTTGTGAGCAGCAGAAACCTGGCAAGGTAAAGAGAAAGTGTGTTTTTTTTCCCCCAGTGATTCTTTAATGTGTAGTCTTGTGTGGCTGTGCTAAGTATCCTTTTCCCTCTTTTGTCCATGAGAAGATAAAGCTTAAGCCCTGTTCCTGAGATGAGACGATGAATCTTAAGCTCTGTTCCAGAGTAAGTACATTGTCAGAATGTTTTATTCAGGGGAACGCACCATCATTTTTCAAGGGAGGTTGAGCAGTTGTTTGCTCACCATACAAATGAAAATTATTTTAGTTAGAGGTATGGAGAATGAGAGGCTGTGATAGCTTTGTATCCTTTAACTAGCAGCTGTTTTCTGTTGTAGATCTGAGATGCTGAAGCAACACTGAGGCATCTGCTATATCTGCAGTCTGGTGTGTGCCTGCTGGCTCTCTTGAGCTCTCACTCATTGCCCTGTGTCTTCAAGAGGTAGACTCTGAAACGAGAAAACCATGACTTGTAATTTTAAAAATGTTAATAAAAAACTCTTTGCGGTACTTTTTTATTCATTATTGCTTACGAAAGTGTGCAGGCTACGTACTACAAATACCAAACACATAGTTGTTCAGGTGGTTTGAACTTTGTGAGCAGATTAGTGGTGAAATTTAACTTGTTGAATGTCAGCTCTTTTACAGCCGTTGCTCGGTGTTTCCAAAATCAACACTGAAAGATGTGTAAGTTTAGGAGCACTCTGCACAGGAATGCATATTACAGCACCCAGGCACAATGCTCGTGGTTTCCTGACTGTCCATGCACTTACTGGAGAAGCATGTAGGCAAGAAATGTTTTACAGTATGACTAAGAACCTATATCAAGGCCTGTACTGTCACAATGATGCTCTATCGACAAGCATTACTAGCTAGGGAAGATGAGCTATCACTGATCCTTCTTCTAAAAGTACTCTCAAAGGTGCACGTTGATAGTAGTGTTCTGGATGCTGACTTAGGACATGGTGGCATCTTCCTGAAGTTCATAGAAGTACCTGCCTCTTTGAACTGTTGTGGATTTAATACAGGTTTAACTGTGTAGGTAGATACCTACACTAATGAGATGTAAAGAAATCTGTCATTTTAATTTGGCATCCATGACTTTAATGTTATGACTTGTGCAGGCAGGACTTTGTCAGAGACATATATCCAACAAAAAATACCTAGCTTGACTTTAAAGAAGAAAGCATGGGCCAAAAAGTCTTTTCTCAGACCTTGGTTTTGTGAGTAACAGATATTCTGTCCACTGCTACTGCAACTTCTGCTGGTAGCGTGATGTCACTGGTGCGATTTGGTAGGGTCACTTTCTGGTGTGAATGCCAACAGGAAACTTGGCCAGCGCTCTGCACAAATGGAAGTTACTCTCACTATCTTTAAGTGTAAAGAGTGGATGAATGGCTAAGTGCGCTTCCTGTGCATTTTCCTTCTCCCAGGCTCTTGGAGGAGCTTTAATGTTTCATAATTCTTCGACTTTTTTTTTTTTTTTTTTAAGAAAGCCTTCCCGTTGCCTACAAGTGGCTTTTTTAGACCATTTACATGTGTAAATGTGAATAGATGGCCGTGCCTTTTACATGGAAGTGAAAACTATGGGGGGGGGGGAAATCACAGTTCTCTTGGGTGACTTTGTACACTCCACTTAGGTATGTAAGGAGTATGAGTCCCGATTCCATTTCCAATATGGAAAATTGCTTTCCCTCGTTCTGTTGTGTTTTTGCTGCTTTGTTTGTTTGTTTTTCCTCCAACGCACAGTGAGTATACCCTTTAGGATGCAGGATCTTTACATAATGAGAGAACAGTCTTTATACACAGCAAGTACCTTCTGCATTGGTCTTAGAAGTGAATACCATGTTTTGTAGCTTGGCTAAAAAAAGGGCGGGGGGGGGGGAGGGAGAGGAGTGATTCCAAATTAAAATTCACTTCTCTAAATTATATGTGAAGAAAAAGTGACAGTTCCTTGTTAGTTCATTTAGAAAACTCATGATCAAATGCAGCATTTGGAGACTGTCTAACTAGAAGTCATTTTGTAATTTTTCTACGTTTTATAACTGTGAATAGTAATGCAATGACTATGCAAGGTGACTCGTTTTCAGCTGGATCTTTTTGGATTTGCTGAAATTCTGTAACAATGAAAATGGAGAGCTAATGATAGGAGTTCCGGGCTGTTATTTATTTTAACCACAAATTGCCATGAGGCAGATGAGTGCAGTGGTTATTCGAAATGTTAGAAATTCGAATAGGATTGCATTAAATCTTGAGCATGTTTTTTTTTTTTTTTTAAGACTGATTTAAAAAAAAAACAACAACAAAAACTAGCAATGCAGATTATAGAGGTTTATTTTCTAAACTTTTAAGTATGTTGATTTTCTCAAAAAGACGCTTTCTTTCTCATGTCCTGTATTCCGAAGTGCATTCTTCCAGTACCAGTTGGCCTGTTAGATTCTGCTGGAGCTTTAGCATGAATTCTCACGTCCTTGTGCTGCCATTGAGTAAATCTCTTGTCGTCTTTCTGTTAGGGCTTAATTCTTGTTGGAAGCTTCTCTATCATTTAGTTAATGATGAGGTATCTTTCAGCTCTTTGTGGTGATATGAATAATTGAGGGATTTAGGCCTTTTATTTCTGGACAAGTTTTTCAGACCTGAAGTCTTTAGTTATATTTATTCATGCATTTATTTAAATATTTGGACTTCAGGACTCAACACCTCCATGCATGATGCCGTATTAGAAGTAATATAATATTTGAGTGTCACTTTGACTTTTAACTAGTAAGAATTATACTCAACTTTCCTTAAGTATTTAAATTTTAATCTCAGTGTCTTTGGGTTCCTGTTTTTTGGTGCAGTTAAGTGAATTATGTTTTTAGATGCTTGCTATCTTTGCATTTCTGACAGTTCTGGTGTATGTTTTTCAAATTACCATGGTTTGCTAGATTAGTCTATGTAATGGATCTGTTTTTGTCACTTAGCAAGGTCAGCGTTTGGGCTGCTCTTGGTAAAAGACAGGCATGTTTTTGTATTTTTTATGTTAGCTTCTAAAAATAATGACAGGGTGAGCCTTTTGTTTGCCCTGAAGGAAACACCCCTTTGCATGTTGATTTCACGCTTACAGTAACTTGTGATCAGTTCCTTGTCTTTAATAGACAATACAATCAACATAAAATAACATCCAAAAGTAGTAAGAATGGTGCACAGAGCTAGGCCAAGTGCCTTATGGGCATATCTGTCACAATTACATCTATTGCTTGTATTTGTGGTTTCTTCTGGTTGGAGATTGACTGATACTCACACTTATTTTCTGCTGATTTTCCTCCATGCTGTCGTTGTTCAAATTTTTTTCTTCATCATTTGCTATGGAAGATAAAGGCCCATATTAGAAAGGTATGGCACTTAGAGGAAATTGAAGAAAAATATTTACTGTATTTTGAGTCCAGTCACAAGGAATTACACCACTATGCTGAGCTAATTATCTGAAATATTTTATCAAACTCAAGACCTGTTATATTTATCCTTCAGGAAGAGCAATGGGTATTGTATCACCTTTAAAGGAAAGTGTCATTCCATTGCTTTGAATTGTTATATATCCTTCAGATGGGGTCTAGAAGATGAGTGATTTGAAGAATCCACACGCCAGGAGCTTACGCTAAAAACACTCCATTCAATATTAGTCATCTTTTTCATGGTTAGAATTTTTACATTGTAAGGAAACAACCTGTTTATAAATATTTTCCAGTGATTTATGATTTTTGTATGTATGAACTACTTGAAATTTTGTGTGTGCAGGTGCTTGTTTTATACCGTTTTGTTTGTGCATCTTGAAGTAAGCTTTGAGAAACTGAGCTTCTAAAACTTGAAACGTGTTTAGTTTAGGTATTTGTTCTCAAGGCATTTGACATAGAATACTCAATTTGATGAGCACAAAATTTGACAGGTTTCTGTATGAACAGCACACTGTCTCCTGCTCTGAAATGTCCACACAATGTGTATATCACAGTGTCAGATTTACTTTGCATTATTGTGTGTGAAAAAACAGTGAAAATACTGTTTTGAGTCCGCATCTGAAGCATAAATGGAGGCATATTGTTTAACTTCAGATATCTAATCATAAAACTTTTCTGCAGTTGAAATGAAAATAGCATCTTTTAATTCCTTTGTCATGTTATCTCATCCTCTGTGATTAAGTTTTAGACTGTCTGATATGCTCTGCGTCTACTCACTAGGTAACTTAGTAATGTGTTGGTTTAGTGTTGAGATATTTTAATTTTCCCTACTAGCAAGGGCTTTATTTATAAGGTATTGCAAATCTACATTTGCTTTTGAAGCTCTTTTTCTGATAGGGGAGTTACTCAGGTGTTTTAAAAGCATCCAGGATGGTGGTATTCTGTGGCTGCATGTGATAAATGTGCAAAACAAGAGAGCAAATATATTTATAAAGGAGGGGATGGGGGTGTTATTTGGGAAAATGACACTGTAATTGTCTTGGTGACTCAATGTATTTCTATGTACTTCATTTCCCAGTGCTGACTAAGCTGGGTGACTCGTTGAGAATATAAACCAGAATGGAGTTTCGGCATCATAATAAGGAGGAAAAGAAAATAGGGAAGAAGCGTAAGCTTCTGGGTTTAAGAACCATGTAGTCTAGGAGGAGGTTGGTCTGCAAATGTCATCACAATATTTGAAGAGTTTCAGTTCATACTTCCCTTATTTAATGTAACTAACTTGTATCTAGGTGTGTTATCTTACTTGTGATGTGATCAATTTTAGGAAATAAATTGTTATTTTGGTTAAGTTTGGTGTTTCTTAATCTGGTGAGTGAGAAAGGGTGAATACAGTCTGTGAGTTCAGTAATTTATATCTGAAAGAACTTTTGCAATGACTAGCTGAATGGGTTTGCAGAATATTCAGCAATATACGTGGGTCTTTTTTGTTTTTGTTTGCTGTGATGCTTTACTTAAATGTACTTTTTTTTTTTTCTTTCAGGTCTTGAGTATAGACTTACATAAGTTCCAAAAATGGGAAGAATTTTTCTGGATCATATTGGTGGCACTCGCCTGTTCTCCTGTGCAAACTGTGACACAATTCTGACCAATCGCTCTGAGCTCATCTCCACTCGCTTCACAGGGGCCACAGGAAGAGCCTTTCTTTTTAACAAGGTTGGTAAAAAGCCAAATGTGATCTAATACTTCTGAAAACTGAGATATTAATCTATCAGCCAAGAAGATTTTAACTCTACCAAAAGTGCTGTGTAATTACTATTTTTTGATCTATTCCACTGTATTTGAAGTCAAATTTGGCATTGACTGTTAATGGCAAGCTGTCTAAATTTATCTGTAATACTAAAAGACTATAAAGAAGATTATGAATATTGTAGCATCACCAAAATGTAGGGAGTTATAGCTTTGGAAACCAGGTTCTGTAATATGAACCTCAAACTCATTTTAAGACTATCTTTTTGTCTATCAGAGTTTCAAAATAATTTGCCTTTTATTTACTTAGCTTGAAAGAAAAGAAGTGTAGATCATATTTTTCATGTCTAAATCATTTTTGGACTAATAGTATTTCAGCAAAATAAAAACATATCTTTTACAGGTAATAGTGCGTGGGATTAGTTCAATATTTTATATTTATCAAATTTGATTAAAATCAACTGATTGAAATATGTATGTCATAACCCTGCATGAGTTGTAGCAGTAATTATTAACCCTTTGATATAGACTTCTTCATTAGTCAGTGAGAAACAGTGATCTTCCTTTGCTTTCTCACAAAGTTCCTGATCATGTAACCGTTAGTGTTTTATCTTTTGTTTTGTGTTCATTGAAAACCATTTTGCCACTGGCTGTTGGCAGAGTTGATAGAGGTGTCGAGAATGTCTTCACTTCACTGTGCTTGGTCTGGGGCTTTCTGTCTGGTATTTACTGAATCCTGTGAGTAGTATGAATATGCAAGTAAGTCTGTATAGCTATACAAGAGAGCTGTGCATCTGATTTCTTTCTCATCCAGTAATCACATGGTCTTGGGGTTGAAATCCTGTGTGTTAAATAGTAGGTTTCAATCACAGAAGAAGTTTGACTTTCATATTTTGCAGCCAGGACCCTTACAGCTGACGCAGAGAGAGCAGGCATAATCAGGTGGACAGTGTAAGAAGTGCAGCCCCATCTTTTAGAATCTTGCCATGCATTGTCAGTTTGGATATAGTTCTGACATCACTTCTGAGTGAACTATACATCCTGATTTTGTGATGTTACTGCCTAAACAAGTTAAAAATATATTTTAAACTGACAAGATAATGCATACACAAAAAGTGAATGTATAATGAGAAGAGAATGTCTTATGTTCTCAGCCACCAAGCCTTTTTCTCGTATGATTATTTCAAAAGCTTCCCAAGAATTTTACGTACCACATCTTAATATTTAGTTCTGATTTCTGGAAATAAGCAGTCATATTAGTTCCTAGAAATAGGGTAGATGTATTTACAAGTGGTTCACTAAAAGTTAGTTTTTATAAACTCTTCACCAAGAACATATCACCCAAAGTTGAACACTGTACTTTGCACTCTTGTCTGTCTAATGATAGGGTTTCATGCCTCTCTCCGTTAGACAGTGATCGTGATACAACCCTGTGAAATGTCTTTTAAAAGCATAAACTTTCTCAAGGAGGAGATTTTCAGGGGCCACAGACTATTCGACTTCAGTTTTCAGTTCACACACAGTGTCACAGACTACTATCAAAATGTTGACATTCACGCCTATTGTTTTCAAGGTTTGCTTCAGGCAGACTAATTCTTTCTATTCCCTGTCCCCTGTATGTGTGTGTTAGGTGGTAAATCTGCAATACAGTGAAGTTCAGGATCGGGTCATGCTCACTGGCCGCCACATGGTTCGAGATGTGAGCTGCAAGAACTGCAACAGCAAACTGGGTTGGATCTATGAATTTGCTACTGAAGACAGCCAGCGCTACAAGGAAGGCCGCGTTATCCTGGAAAGAGCTTTGGTCCGAGAGAGTGAAGGATTTGAGGAGCATGTTCCGTCTGACAATTCCTGAAGAGACTTGAGTCTCTGCTTGGGTTCTCTTCATTCGAAACTCGAAAGTAATAAAATCAACAAAAAAAATCTGCTTACATACACTGTCACCTTAGCATCAGAGTCGGATTCATGGACTACAGAGTGGGAAAGATTTTGAGAGTTTTTTTAGATGGAACCTTCCTTTCTTTATTCCTTTATATTTTACTATCCTTCCAGCAGCTGTTTGTAGAAAGAATGTTGTGCAGTTGCTGTAACTTTTTCTCTCTTGCATTTATAACTGTTAGATCTGAGAATGTATCTGCAGATACAGTGGGCTAAAAGGAAAATGTTTGGGGGATTTTTCTTTTGTTAGAGAGAGATCAATTTTCTTTTTTTAGTTTGCAGAAACTGATATCAGTGTAAAGTTATTTTAAAATTACAGGTGTTTTTTTAAAAGTATATTCCAATTTTGGCTTAAGTTTTTAGCTACTTCTTTTTTGACTCGGTCTTTTCACCTGATTTGCTAGCTAAACTAAAGAGATCCGAATTTGTGCCAAGTGCTAAAGGTTCAGTGGTGGTACAGCTTGGGCTGGCCCTTGTGTCATATTCTTGTCGAGGTTGATTGGTAGCACAGAGCCCATTATTTTTTTTGTCATTCTTGACCCCAGGATGTCACCATTTCCTGTTTGTGAAGTCACAGTCACTATGTAAACTGATGTTGATTGAAAACTATTCTTGAAATAGGGCAAAACTGCTTGGCTTCTTTTTTTTTTTTTTTAAACTGATGTAACTTATAAGCATAGTAATAATATAAAATAATACCTGTCTGTTTAGTCTTGTGTTGCTTACCAATCAGAAGTTGTGTTTGTCATGATAGGGATCCAGTGGGAAACTCCTGTTTCCGTAGTAAATTTTTTTCATTATTTCTTTATTAATCTCATTAAGTTGACAGGCAATTGCAGATCTTATTTCTTCAAGTAGCTTTCTTTAAACCCAGAACTTCTTATGTTAAACACAGCTGCTGTGTAAAAGGAGAAGACTGCCAGCATGTTTGTTCATGCATAGAGTTACGCAAGCTGCATCTTGTGAAAAGATTAACTTAAACAGCTTGTTTTCATATGCCACTTCTGGTGTTCAAACTCTCTTCTCTTTCAACTTTGAAATTTTTCATTGTGATGTTACTTTTTTATCTTTCTGGGCAGCAGTACATGTCAGCCTAGTAGTAACTAGTGACTTGGATTTCTGCTTTCTTGTAGAGGTCAGCTCTGCTTAAAACAGTGATGTTGCTTGCCTTGTAGCAAAAATGCTCTTCATTAACTTAATTAACTCAAGGGTGCCCAAACACTTTCATTGTCTTAAGCCATAAGTTAAGATCTCAAGGGCTGCAATTAATTTGAATGTTAGATATGTATGATTCTTTATCAGAGATCCATATTTATTTATTTTTTCTTATTGGGTAAATAGTGGCCAATGTGAAACAAGTTACCCACAGATGTACAAGGAGACAACCAGATCTGGCCTCTGATCTTTCCGAATAACTTTTCTTCACTTGCCACAGCTCCATATCTGAAATTAAAATGTGGAAGGTGACTGTGCAGGGTATTTTTTATTTTATTTTTATTTTTAGCTGCCTAGTGGCAATTTGGACACCCCTGACTTGAATCTACTGCCTATTTGATGTAAAAGTAGCTTTACTATAGATTTGTCATATAGAAAGAAAACAGAGTAGATCACATACCAGAGCTGTGCTTGAATCGAGCTGCTTAAACAGTAGTGTACTTGTGCCTCAGATCAGTTTTTGCACTGAGTACAGTAGTACCCCGTTATCTTGTGTTTCTGTCCTTCAAAAACCCCCAAAGTCCCATTAGCATGGTCTTCTGCAGTACTTTTCTTGTACTTCTGACATTACAGTAGAATAAAGTATGTTTTGTCCTGAATTGGTATTTGCCAGTCTTTTTCAGTTGTTATTTTATTTTCACAGAGTCTGCCAAATGAATTATATAACCTGTCATCCTTTTCCTTCATTAATTAAATGATTGAATTTCTACTGCATATGGTTATAAGCTGTAGATGAGCATCTCTCTCAAAATAGGTGGCAAGAGAGTATACAGTTGGTTTGGGGAGGTGCTAGGTGCATTTCACTTCATGGATATCACTTGGATACCTAAGAGGTAAGTTCATGAAAAAATAGTAAGTTATGAGCTCAAGTCCATTGCAGTTTTAAAACAGAATCCAGTAGCTCTTTCGGTCTGCCTGCTTTTCCCCTGTGTTATCACCTGGATGGCTCTGGGAGAGTTTCCCATCAAAAATTTCTCCCTTGAAACACTTTATTTACGGATAACTTACCTGTAGGAGACAAGCTGATGAGCCTCAGCACACCTAGCAACAGAGAATGCATTGCTATTTGGCTTTAAGTGTTATTTTGGAATAGGGCAATAGCCTTAGATTCCCAAACAAGGGGTGGTTGGCATGGTGCAATGTGCCAGCATTGCAGAAGAGGTGACAGATACACTAGAGGTAAGTTTGAATCTCTTGTTTATAACTTGTGATTCAGGAAAAGTAGAACTGGACATTCACTTGGGCATTGCAGAGGGGTCTGAGGTCCCCTGAAAAACAGCAGAAGATGCTGAATTTAAGCTCTTCGGTTTCTTTTGAGAAACATTGAATGTCACTGTAAGACACAACAAGAAGTGCAGAAAAAACAGCACTGAGTTTCTGGCCTCTGCTTGGGTGAAGGGAGCTGGAAAGAATTTGTCCTTCATGGCAGGTTTTGTTTATGTTTGTATTATCTGAAGCGTTCCACACTAGCAGAAACTTGTATTTCTTACAGAAGTAAAAAAATAAAATAAAATAAAATGAGAAAAGGAACAAAAAACTATGGGAATTATTTGCATTTCCTGAGTGTCAAAGAGGGTCAGACAGGTGGGAGAAAGAAGAGCATTCAGACCCTACGTTCTGATTTAGCACAAGAGGTGTGCTTGTTGATGTCTAGATATATTGCTGTATTTCTAAAACTTGTTTAGAAAGAAATCCATCTTTAGACTTGGGATCTTGCTTTGTCCTACTGAAAGCATTTGATTTGACTGTTGCAAGCATTTACAAATGTTTGGAACATTAGGTTTACTGAACTACAGCAGACTGCGTGCCATAGTTGTTTTAGTCCAATGTCACATTGCAACAGGTGCATTTCGAGAAATAGCAAGGCTCCCGTCCTTTTGGGGGAACACAGGCAGAATGGCCAGATCATACAAGGGTGCTTGACCAAAAATCTGGGTGACTTTATTCTGTCACTTTAGACTGGCCTAAGCACTACTACGTGGTAAGTACAGAAGGAAGAAGAGGATGTTTGTTACTTTTCAGGAGTGGACCTTCACTCCCATGCACAGTCAAGAAGGTGCAGAAATGGCCTGGATGGCTCTGCTCCTGCTGAGCAGTGGTTTAACCCCATCCTACCTGTTTTTTTTTAGATTTGGTCTGGTCTGGAAATCCATATGCAAGTATGCTTTAGTCCACACAGAGTGCTGCTGTCCATGCGCTCAACTTGAGCAAGTTGCTTGAGCTTCCTTATGGTGATCAATTTGCTTTTAGTGATTAGGTGGAAAGTTAAACCTGACTCAGTTCAGCCAGCACCCAGAGGTATGTGGTGAAATGCATTAAAAAAAAAAAAAAAAAAAAAAAAAAGCTGTGTAAATCTCTGGCGATTGTTGTGCATTCCCTGCAGAATTAGCAGTTTCAGGATCTGGGGAAGTGTCTGCTTTTGGCAATGTTAGGAGTCACTCCTAGTGTTACTATACCAGAATGACATTCTTCATTGCATCTCAGAAAGGATCCATGGACTGTCTATTCTATGTCAACCTGCTGAGGAGGCATTAGCATAGTGATGTACTCAATAAACCTTCATTCTTCGTGGTGAGGCTTCTCAGCATGATTTCTGTTGTAGCCAAAAGTACATTAGAGAGGTAATTTAGGTCACAAAAGTAGAACACTTAGAAAATGTCAGCTTTCCAGTGGATTAGCCAGCATATGGTTATCCTGTCCTTGCATACATGCAGCCTGGGAATGAAAATGATACGGGGTCATGAGGGTAAGGATGGTACCATTATCACCCTTTTATAGCATCACCCTTTTATAGGCATGCATTCAACTTGCACTGACAACCAGTGTACTACTGTTCCTAAATTTGGACTGTGACTTTTCAATTATTTGGTTGCTAAAGGTAATTTGGATATGAATGTTCCAGTGTGCAAAAGTAAAAGAAACTCAGGTTAAGCATTTGTAATTGCTGGCTTCTTCATGACTAGAATGTGAACTGGAATCCCACACGTTTAGAGCAGTACCTATAACTACTTAAACTTCAAGGCTGATTGATTGCTACTTAACCAACAGCTGTAAGAAGCTTTTCATCTAAGAACACTGAGCAGATGTCAGACTTAGGCTTCAGAGGTTTTCATTTGATGTGAGGTCTCAACATGGAACTGTTCTGTTTGTGTGCTGGTTGTGGTCAGTTTTGTTGTCTCTTTTTTTTTTTTTTTTTTTTGTTTTTTAATTTTGATGTCAAAAATCCTGCTTGCATCACATGGAGTCAGGGCATAAGGGCAGCTGCTACAGCCTCATGGAAATGAGGATACCTTGGGTCTATGCCAAGGTCTGCCATCAGCCATCTAGAACCCCTGACAACTGATTCCACTTTCTCATCCTTCAGGTTAGCCCCATCTCATATGAAATAAGGGCTATGGAAGACCTAAATGTCCTCTTAAAAGTATTATTTTGTAGACTGAAGAAGCCATGGCAACATAAAGCTACAACACTGTTAACATCACGAGACAAACTTGAGTCAGTTACTGCCTTTGAAACATCTGTGGTGTGGGCTAAAAGTAAACTTTTCTACCAAATTTGATGTACATTGAAGGAGTTGCAAAAATATCCCCAAAAAGGGGGAATATCGGATAAGAAGGGAAGAAAAAAATGGAGTAAAACGGTTGTGAAATGTCTCAACAGTTGCGCTGCTTTTGTCATTGCTATTCTTTTTCTAGCAGGGTGTTTAATTTACTGGATCCATTGAATCATGATACAGTCAACAGAACCACTGCTTAGACACTTGCTGTTACTATTAAAAATCTTAATAATATTACTGCAAGGAGATGACTGCAGCTGGGGTTTATACCACCGTTTGCTCCTGCAGGGACTGGAAAAAAATGTAGGAGTCTTACCTGCTACATTTGTTCACGTGTATACCAGCTCCTTTTTTGCCTTTATCCTCCACTATGCGAATGTGTATCATTCCTGCATGCCTCTCTCTTCTAGGAATGCATCTCTAGAGATTAAAAACAGGAATAGTATCACCAGATGAGATTTGATCTGGAGAAATGCAAATGTATGCCGTGGAGGGCAAAAAAGTCTCTTCTCTGTGAGAGAAGACTTTAGACATCTGAAGGAGATGCGATGTGGTGGGAACCATTTCCACGTGGCTTTGTGATGTGACTAGCAAAGCAATCTGGGGGCTGCTTGTATAGAGGCAGCACACCCTCAGATCCAGTCACTTACTTTGGTCTATAAATTGAACAAAGGATTCTTATTAAAGAAACACATTTTTACAATGCTTTTCATTTGATTACCTCAACTGTTTTAATAGTCTTAGAAGATTCTGGGGAACAATAAATAAAGAAGCTTTACTGTAACCCTTGCAGCATTTATTTCTATGGAAGTCAATTTTTCTTACTCCTTTCATCCAGAATCAAAAGAAAAAGAAAAGCAAGAGGAAACAAGATGCTGAGGTTCACACCTGATGTTTTTCTCTATATTTTTTACCAAAGAAAGGAAGGAAATGTGATTTCATATAAATAATTTTTCCTTACCTGTTTCTGACTCACTTTTATTGCTTCATTGTACTTAGGCAGAAGGCACTGAAGTGACCTATATGTCAGACATTACAGATGATATTGCAGCTAGAAGCCATTTAGCACAAGCACATTGGGTGTGTGATGCAGCCTTACAGTTTCAAGCCTTTACCACCCTTCTTCCTGATGCAACAGGCCTTACAGTTTCAAGCCTTTACCACCCTTCTTCCTGATGCAACAGGCCAAGGGTGGAAGGACTGCCCCCCATCAGAACTAGTAGTAGTTCCCTGTTCCCATGTAACAGGCGGTCACTCTGAGTGTAATGAACAACCTTTGGAGAATTGTGGATGTAGAAATGCTGGGGCTTTGGTGGGCCTCTTCATCAAACCTTCACTCTGTCTCCTGAAACAGTAATCATCGTGTAATCTTAATGAGAAATTACTTCTGCACTGAAGAAAGCAGAATTCAGGCTCCTTGAGCAGGCCTGTGGCCTTGTGTTTGCAACAGGTATGTATAGCTCAGGCCCTGTCATCTTTCACGTGGTGTCTCTAAGAGCATATAAACCCTCCGCTCATTTTACTCTGCTCACAGCAGCAGAGCCTGCTTGTCTGCTGCTGTCTTCTCTCCTACAGCTATAGTAAATAAACTGTTGCTCTTCTGACCTGACCCAAATCTGTGTTCTTGTTATTCCGCAACAGAATGGAGGAGTCAGAAGCTTGCATTGCATGTGAATGTTGTCCACATCTTAAAAAACAAACAAACAAACAAAGCAACAATAAAAAAACACAGACATGAAGCTCTACAGTGGGGCTGTTGATGTTGGAGATGGGGCTTGTGGCCATTGCTTTTGAGAACAGTGACCCATGAATGTTGAGGCCGTGCTTTGGAAATGGGGTAAATCACTGATTTACATGTACTGCAAGGAGGAGGCACATTTAATCGTATGTTGTGGGGGTGTTAGCGCTGCAGGAGAAGGTCAAGAGTCCTGTGTTACATCCCATGGCCTGGTAGGACAATGAGCACCTGTGGAAACTCTTCTGTCTGGTGAGGAGAACTGCCTGGCCCCAGGGCAGGGTCACTGCTGGTGGAGCCGAGGAAGG